TTTTTAAATCGTCCAACCAGTCTTTTAAAAAAAAAAAAAAAGAAAGAAAAAACCTTCTGTACTCTCCTAAAAASCTRCGTACACACACACACACACACAGAGACATATACATAATTCAAAGCTTTTCACGCATTTTCGAATAGAAAATTGCTATGTGCAATGTATTATAGTACCCGTATACACATATAGAAATCATACGCCTACCAATACATACGTATTTTTGTTCCTACGTATATAAAACCTGAAAAGGGTTGAGAAAAAAGAACACAAAGAAAAGAAAAAAAAAAAATGAGATGAAAGTGAAAAAGAAAGAGAAAGAAAATCACTGTAGTTCTCATTTTATTCCCCTTTTCTTTCCTTTTCTTTCCTTTTCTTTTCTTTTTTTCTTTTCCACGATGAGATGCGGCAAACGCAGCAGATCCGCACGTGATTTATCTGTACCTTACGACAACGTCCTCTCTCTCTCTCTCTCTCTCTCTCTCTCTCTCTTTCTATCTCTCTCTCTCATATATATCAACATACATACACACATACACACATACAGGATCGCGAAGCTAGCTGGGCAACACAGCTCGGACACGCGAGTGCGCCCCCTCGGAAGAAAATCTTGTGAATGAGCAGGTTCTCCATTCACTTTTAAACGGAGTGGTAGAGTCGTAACGAGTCTCAACGCCTTCCTTTTCTCTCACTCTCTCACAGACAGACACACACACACACGTACGCACAGAGATCATACACGAACACGTGTACATATTCTCTTTCTCGCATGATCTATATTACATCTCTTTCTCTTTCTCTTTTCTTCGCACACTCTCATTACGATCTATACTATCTATCTCACTCTTTCATATATGGTCTATTAAATTGGTTTGTATTTTTATACTTTAACGATTGGGTTTATTATACTAACTCTCTTTATTTATTTTCCACGCATCTATTTTTCTCATGTAATCTATATTATTTTTTTTCTCTCTCTCTCTTTCTCTTGTATGCACCTACGTACTATTTTTTTTACTTATACTATATTTCTCTTTTTTTCTTTCTTTGATGAAACACACACACAGATACACACATATATGGATTTTTTTTTTTATTTCTCTTACGATTCACATTATTTTTCTTTTTCCCTCTTTCACACACCTACGTACTGTTTTTTTTCTTCTAATCTATATACCAATGTATTCGTTCGTCTATTCTCTTTTTTTTCTCCCCATCTGTAAAATCGTTGAATAATATTCTAAGCTTCTATTCGTTAATTGAAAAACTTGACTACGATGGAAAATAATCGAAAGATATGAAAAGTATTTTCTTTTTTTTTTTTTTTTTTTTTTTTTCTAAGGAAATAGAAGATTTATTAAAAAATAAGTGCACGTTATCGAATGATAAATTAAGAAAATGTGAGTGGTAAAAGGAAAAAGAAAAATAGGAAGGATTTTGGAAGATTCTGTAATTTAAAATGTAGGTCATTTTAGGATTCTACCTTTCAAACAATTCCTTATACCCTAACACTAGGAGCCGAACATCTGGTATTATATAGAAAAGCGTTAGGTCAGAATTGAGGTTTTACAACGTTTTTCTTAAAATTTTAAAAAGTTACGATATTATCTTGTCACGATTTTCCTACAAATGCAAACACAATATTAAGATTTTATTATTGAGAAAATGTATTCTTTCGTTCGGGTTTTATAAAGCACGTCTTGTTCGAACGATAATTTGAATTTGTCGGAAATGTTAAAGAAATTTAAGAATGTTCACAGATTCTATTTTGTAATAAATAAAAATAAGAAAAATGTGAAATGAAATTTCGACAATATTTTGAAGGATTTAGAAAGTATGTCAAAGGAAATACAAGGAAATAGAAAAGGAAATAATAATAAAAAAGGAAACGCGTTTAAAAAGCAAGAGTTACTTAAAAGACAGACATAGAAAAACGATCGTAGTACCGTGTCAGATGGAAAATACTCGATTACCATCCACAATAGCCGTTTCAATGCAAATCACTCCGACACGAAAGACCGTAAACTATTTTCTCTTTCCTTTCTCTGTATAAAAACATCTTTAAAGTGTCTACGAAACTCGCATAAATGTCACCTGCCTATGGTTGACTTCGTTCAAGAAATCGTTCTGTGCGAATTCATTATTTCCTTTTTCTTTTTTACAATATATAGAATAAACCAAATATTTGTTGTTCTTTTTCTTCGAAACATCAATCGTACGCATCGTCATAAAAATGTTTTCTCGATTTTTGTTAAACTACGAGCGTACATTTTTTTTTTTTTTTTCATTCATTTCATCGAGTAACTTTTCAAACCAAATCCTGTACAATCATTTGATTTTATTCGAATTTTTCTCTTTCTCTGTCGTTTTTGTTTTTTTTTCTTTTTGTTTATTTCATTCATCGAAAAAAAATCAAGAAAACCGATATTCTCGCGCTAATGCACCTACAATTAGTCACGGCGGATAATCCTATGGTTCACGAAAGCAAGGCCAATTTCAGGATGTTACTCGCAATCTAGACATGAGATTAAACGTTGAAAATAAATGGGAAACGTTTGTGGGTTGTTGTGAGCGTGCGAGAGCATAATGCGTATCACGTGCCTAGAAAAATAAATATCTGCGATATCTCATCTTGAAAAGACAAAGTAAATTATTCGGTAATTCGGTACTATGGAAACGTATTTAATAAATTTATTTATGTATACCAAAAATATTCATAAATATTCATAAATATTAATAATATTTTTTTTATATCCTATATATGTATATGTTCTTTCGTTTCAATTTATTTCCTAATTTTTGTTATTTAAATTATACAAAAAAAAAAAAGAAAGAAAGAGAAAAAGAGGAAAGAGAATGATGGGAAATTGTGTTCATCTTCTAATCTCCTTTTAATTTTCTTCGTCGTAATCTACATCGAAGCAGATAGTCCGTTTATTCTCGTCGAGCTTCAACCTTCGGTACGGTTCAAAGTAATCGTTCTAGCAAATACAATCATTATCGAGTTATCGAGTCATTATTGACGAAACTACTCGTTGACATAATCGCCAGCTACGACTATTACTAATTCTCTCTCGAATTACCATTTTCTATTTCTCGTATTTAAACAAAGGTGTGCAAAATTCGATACTTCATATTATCAAATACGAAAACACTTTGTTTAATATGTGTGAAAATCAAAAATTAATATCATTTTTAAAAAGGACTTCGATTAATTTTTACAAACGTAATTATTATGTAAATTTTTATCAAAAAAAAGAAAAAAACAAAATTTCGACAAAATAATCAAATGATAAAACAATATTACACGTTCGTCCTATAAAAAATAATCGTGATCATTCGATCGAGTTTTAATTCACGATCAGAAAATAACACAAATAGGAAGAGATAGATGATTGTTAGAGAAGAGAACCGCTTGCAAAATGATATTAGAGTTAAAATCGTTTGCCGGATAAGTCGACAAAGAAAGTTTGCACACATACTTCCGATACGATCCGTCCTTTGTTTGCGGGTGCGAGGCGTGCAGAACTTTACTGTTCAATTCGATAAAAATTCTCTCTCTCTCTCTCTCTCTCTCTCTGTCTATCTATCTCTATTTCCTCGTATCTATCGTTACGGCATCGCGACCTAATAATATGCATATACAGGGTGACCCAAAGAATCACACCTATCGTATTTTGTTAAAATAAATTGCATGCTGCTTCTATAAATTTCCAATGAATTATTCATCTTATAGTTTTATCGATAAAACTATAAAAATATAAGAAAAAATTCATTTTTATTAATGTTCACACACACAGATACTTCCCCAGTCCTAGGTATACATATGTGTGGTATACGCCTACGAATTATAATATCAATATAAATATTCGTATACATGTATTATATTTAATTCTATCTTTCTCTTGTGCAATACTCATTAATTAAATATACAAAAAAATTAAATGTATTTCTACGAGGGTCAAACTTACACGCCCGAGTCAACATTGTAATAATGAGAAAGAGAGATGGATAGTGTGTTCTGTATAACTAAATAGTATGTATATAAGTCGCTTCCTTTCTACTCGTTGAAGAAACGAGATAATGACACATCCCGAGCTCTCATAAACCAGGCCCGTTCTAATTCTCTAATCCCAGTGCACGAGATTTCCTTATCTCGAATTTCAATCGGCACGCTTTTGAAGTTGCCGTATTAATCCTATGTAAGAGAGACTTTTCCGAGTCACGATCGTTCCCGCCATTATTTTCCACACGATACCTATTTTAAATACTTATACTATAACTAATACTAATCTAATACACCACCACCATCACATACTGCTATTACTATCACCTTTAACGCTTTTGTTTCGAGAACAAGATCGCGAGGAGAAACATTTTAAAGATTATCCACATCTATTATCTATGTAATTTGCTACGTAATTAATGAGAACTTTGAATTAACAGATTTTAAGATACCAACAACAAATATTTCAACTTACGTAAAAGTAAAAACATGTCTCCCATGTTAACTTGTTGTGTTCTGATAAATTCAATAAATTCTTCAAACATACAATTCATAGTATTTCAACGTTTTCTTTTTTCATCAAAACTGAACAACGTAGTATCTCTCTCTCTCTCTCTCTCTCTCTCTCTCTCTCTCTCTCTCTCTTCGATTATTCTTCCACGCAAACTCAAACATTCTATTCTACCATTATTTATGTACGAACTTTAGGAAGAACACGAGAAGAAAGTTCACGGGAGAATACGAACGATCGAGTAATCAAAATAGTATTGATAAAACAAAACAATTGAATTAGACGATAAAATAAATTAACTACTACGTTAATCAAGTAAATTATCAATGTTCCAATAACGACTCTAAATTAAAGTCGAAAAATCTTGGATAGACAAAATGTTCATTGATTAATTAACGTAAATTTTAATACATCGATCGTAAATAATGCAATAGAAAAAAAGAAAGAATAATAAATATAAAAAAAAATAAAAAAGTATATACTCACGCGTGAATGTATTGTTTAGCCAAGCTTGGATCCTCAGGTGCAGTCGTGATTGATGTACATTTACGAGAAAAATAATCGCATAAATCACACCGGAATATTATCCAATCATATACATATATATATACATATATATATATATATGTTCATCGAGTCGGTGTAAAAGAAAATAAAAAAGGAATTAATAATCGCCCGCTCGAGTTTTTTTTAACAATAAAGAAACTCTTCGTCGAAGTATAATAACCACGAGCAGAAGGAGAGTAGTTTGTTCTTCTATCACTACGATTGATCGAATGCGCCTACATCACGAAATTTTCCGGCATGTAGCAAAGACGAGCATTTCGTGTTTAATAATCGCGTCGCTCGATTCTCGAATGATTTTCAAGAATAAAAAGAGAGAGAGAAGAAAAAGAAGAAGAAGAAGGAAAAAAAAAATGAAAAGAAAAGAAAAAGACGACAGACCGACGCTAAATCGTCCTCGTCGTCGTTGTTTGAAAGAGAATTATGACGATGATTAGGCCGATCGACAAAAAAAAAAACTTGCAAAATGCAATGATCAAAGCAAAGATTGAAATCGTCGATATTAGAAAAAATTTCCTGATTCTTCTTTGTCGTCGTCTTCGATTTCTAACTTCTCCTTTTTTTGCATCTGCGAGAATAACGTAAACAATGTATCAACTCTGATATGATCGGGACTTTATCTATCTCTCTGTTGTGTGTTGTGTATATATTCTATCTATCTATCTATCTATCTATCTATTTCTTTCTTTCTCTCTCTCCCTCTCTCTCTCTCTCTCTCTGTGAGTATCTGTGTATATGAGCGCCTCGCGTAATCCGAGGATCCGTTTGTAATGCCACACTCCTAAACTTTCGCGTCCCAACCAGAGACTGAAGCGCCTACGTACAGTCCACCCGTATAAATGCCGCGTTTTCAAAGCCGAACGAGCATCCTGCGTCTCCGATTGGTTGACGATCTACGAGAGGCGTTTTAGAGGGCGCCACTGAATAGCGACGAACAGCAGCGACTAGTCGATAAGGAAGGGTACTAGTAATCCGTCGGTAAACGAGAACACCTCCCATATTGCGTTCGATAATGTAATTTACTTTTTTTACATTATTTTTTATTATACAATTTTGTAAATATCTCATCGATATTATTCTTTGTTTTATTTCGTCGATGTTAAGATATATCTCTGTGTAGATTATTTTTATATTTATTTCTTTTTGTTTCTTATAGCTTTATGTAGGTTTCGTTTTAAAAAGAGCAGGTGTACGCCCACCTTTCGTAAATTGCTATGGAAACGCACGTGCTACGCACAGTCGTTCGATTTCCCCGACGCACAATAAAAGATCTCTTTTAAAAAGTATCTCCTATAATTATAAATAATTTCGTTAGTTGTGTACATTAATTTAATATGAATACGCGAAAAGAAAACAGTGAAAATGTGGAAGAAAACAAAGTAAAGTCGGTAATAAAAAAGATTAAAAAATCGGAATATATGAAGGGTTTAATGAAATTAAAAAATCAGGAATATATTTTAGAGAGAGGACTCGTTAATTTAATAGATAATATGAAACTCGATGTTGATGTTATTAAAAGTTTGTCGAGAGAAGAGAGGGAATTGTCTGCAAAAAGGTACGTTCGATATTTATAATATTTCGTTACATTCATGTTTTTTGTATAACCTTTGTTTTTGTATCATATAGACAAAATATTTGTTCAACTTTACGTAAAACTATTTCTGACATTAGTAACGACGTGAAGACAGTTAAACTAATCATAACCGATCCCGTACAAATTCAGCAATTAGGTAATAAGCTTCACATAAATATGAGTCACTACTTATCAATTTAAATAAATACTTTTGATCGTGTTGATTTAGATGTAAACAAATTTAAATCGAAACTGATTGGAATATCAAAAAAATTAGACGATTTTAAGAATACTTGTCCTCTTCAAGAATTATCCGAAAAAGGAAATGAATTGGACTCTGATTTAAAAGAATTTTCATCGCGTTTACATAAATATAATTCAGTGAATAGAACAATCAAATCATCAACTATAGATTTGTCTTCTCTTAACAAAGATAAGAAAACAAATCACGAAGATTACGATGATTACGAAGAGATCGAAGATTTTCATACGTTGATCGCTAAAACAGGTGGTTTTCTAAATTCGATTTAAAAACGTTTTGACATTTTACAAAGAAATTTAAATAGAAATTTTGTTTGATTCCAAGGTTACACTCAACATTGGAGCAACGAGGATCATTCGTTATTTTTAAAAATGCGAAAACAGTGTAAAAACGTACCAACGTTAGTTAATGCGATTAGAACAAAGTGTCCAGATTTGACGATAGAAACGATAATAAATCATGAAACTTGGTATAAATTATATCTCGATCTACGAGAGAAGCAAAGATCAAGAATAAAAGAATGGCGAAAGCGAAAGGAATTAAACAAAGTTACAAAATTACAAAACGAAGAAATTATCGAACAAAACAATCTACCAACTGAAAAAGTTCCCTCGAATGTTGTAAACAAAAATATATTTAACGACAAAGAAAAAAGTTCCGACGCAGTTATCGATCAAAATCTGAATAAAAAGGAATTAATCAAAAAATGGAAATTAGAAAAAGAACAGAAACGAATGATGGACGAAGAACAGTCGAAATTGCGATTAGAATCTAAACGAGCATTGGATGAAAAACGTACACGAATTAGGATAGAAAATATGCGAGAAAGTTTACGAGATTATAGGAATAAAAAATCGATGGATAAATTTGTAGAAAATTCGAAAAAGGAATTAAAAAATATTCAAGAATATAATCCAATTTTGATCAAAGAATTTAGGTACGACGTCTTCGTATTTTCGCACACAACGAATTTATTTTTTTATTTATAAACAAAATATTTTGACCAATCATAATATTAAAGGAAACAGGATGAGGAATACGTTAGAAAAAGAAGGATGCAACTATCGCGTACGAATAAAACTCGACTAAATAAATCAAGGACATCGCGGAAATATCAATTAAATAATACAAATAACTCGACATTGTGTAAACCTACGAAAGCGTGGCAAGAAAAATGTAAAATCGAGGATTATAAAATAGATGATAATCAAAAAGTACGATACATCAAAGATCTACCAAAATTGTGAGTAAACTAATTGAATTTAATCACACTAACTATACGTACCATTCATTTGTTGTTCTTTGCAGACATACACGATGGAGGAACGAAGAGTCTATAGATTTACAAAACTATTTTGCTCTCTAATAAATCGACCTTTCATTATTTTTTTAAATGCACGCAAAAGTTCACTACTTACACGGAATTTCCATTATGAATTAATCGCAATAATGTATCTCAGTATAACACTATACATATACATATATATGCATATACATATACCACACACATAATTAGCTTTAATTATAAAATATATTTTAACATGCAAATTGTATTCTAAACATAAAAGTAAAGAGAATGGAGAAAAAAGAAAAAAAAATACTATACTTCGCAGAAATATAAAAATGATAAAAAAACAAATCATTCTTAGCATACAAATGAAGTAAAAGAATAAAACAAAAGGGTTAACGGGGTGAAATGAGCCGAACGATTGATATATACTTATGTTTATTTTTCTTTACGAACGTACCTTTTTTTTTGTTTTGTTTATCATTATTATTTTTTTTCTTTTTCGTTTTCTTTCTTTTTTTTTTCTGTGTGTATGCGTGTGTGTTTCTTCTCAGACGATGGTATATAATAAGTTATGAGTAAGCGAACGTTGAGTTTATCCAGGACAGTTTGTTAATCGGTATTAATTAGCATTTACAATTATATAGAATCCCCCAGGACTTTCTAAATACATTACCTGATTTTTTAAAACACAGCAGGGAAGGAGAGGGTTAGCAGGGGGCAGCAGAAGAAGGAAGAAGTGGGGGCAGGGGTAGTAAAAGGATAATTTATATCATCTGGTCGTGGATAACACCAACACTCGACACGATTTTACTCAAATATATATAATATACTTTCTATTAACCTTCTGTTCGTTAATTAGATATCCTTTTAGATTACCAAATACAAAAACATAGGTGATACAATATATATATATATAGATATATATATACATATAGTGTTATAATACAAGGGTGTCCCACGTATTGTACTGATTACGATAAAACTTGTTGTTACGTTAATATTTCTCGCGATAGATCATCATAAAGCTGTACAATACGGTGGCACCTTTTATTTTTTTTGTCGAGATACTTACGAATAGAATTCTTAGAAAGTACTTCCTTTTCTTTTCTTTTTAAACTATTTATATCTATATATATATATATATATATATAT